AAAGTTAAATCCTCTTTCTCAAATTGAGGATGGAGCATTGAGAAACCACTGAGAAACTTGTGTCACCATGGTCACTGCTCTGTGGTCAGTGCTCTTCCAAAGCTATGTGGACTTGTAATCAGCCTCCGGCTCCCGCATCCTCATCCTAGTCTTATACACACCATCAAGGCTCTGTGAGCTTTCAGTTGCTACACAGGAGGCAGACACCAATTGTCTAGCTTTCCTTGTTAATGAGGATGGCCACCAAAAATCCCTTTTCCCTCCATCCATACACTTACAATTATGACAGAGACACTGAACTTTCTTCGGTTTATTAGGTTATAACTTCAACGTATGCCTTGTGGTTCGAGGCAAAACACATCAACTCTTTCCTCCATCAACAGATGGCATTAGTATTATTCAATTATTCTGAGGTTTGCTGAGTTTGTGCTTATTTGTTAATTGTTTAATGACTATGAATACCAGAATGTCTTCCAAGTACAAAATACGAACAGTAATTGTGGCATCAAAGCAGAGAATTTTAAAGATTAAAATGGTGAGAAAATAAATTGCTTATATGGAACCACCAGTAGAATAAAAAGATCTAGGGTGTCTTGGCCAGTGTGGCTCAGTTGGTTGAGCGTCGTCCCGCGCACCAAAAGGTTACTAGTTTGATTCCCAATGCAGGAGGCAGCCGATTGATATTCCACTCTCACATTGATGTTTCTCTTTCTCCTCTCCCTTCCTCTTTCTCTAAAAATCAATAAAAATGTTTTTTTAATATGCTTTTAATTGATTTTAAAGTCAGAAGAAGGGAGCAAGAGAAGAGAAACATCAATGAGAGGGAAACAGATTGGCTGCCTCCTGCACATCTCCTACTAGGGATCGAGCCCGCAACCCAGGCATGTGCCCTGACTGGGAATCAAACTAGTAACCTCTTGATTCTTGGGTCAACACTCAACCACTGAGCCAATCCTGCTGGGCCATAAAACAAATTCATATATATATATATATATATATATATATATATATATATATATATATATATATATAAAGATTGAGTGGCAAGCTGATATGCAGGGATCAGGTGAAAAGGAGCCAGCCAGGAAACTAAGAAGGAATGAGGTATCATCTCATTTCTAATGGAGAGGTAGATGGAAAACTAAGAGAGTGTTGAGCTTCTGGAAGCCAATGAAGAAAAACCGGAGAAGGAGAAACCGTAGCAACTTTACCCAGAAAACTAAACAAATTCTTAGGCCGAAGGGGCACCTCATAAAAACGGGAGCAGCTGCTATTAGAAATGGTTACTTAGAGTCAGGTCTCAGCGAAATTCATCTGTAACATCTGTACCCCCACAATGAAGACTGTAAGTGGGCAGGCCTAAGAGAGATCATGTGGAGCTTCCAAGGAACAATATATGACGCTTTATTTGTAAAAGTGACACTAAAAGATAAGACCTCCAACCCTGCTTTGAGAGCAAGATTGCTATAAAGCATACAGAGCCCCCTTTCAAATCATCATGAACAGTCTAATAAACAAGATCTTAGGATTTTAACATAACCACAACAGCACTTCATTCTGAATCTTTAAAAAGACCTAGATAGATAAATTAGTTCCCTAGTTGATTAAGGATCCGGTTTTAACCCAAATCTTATACTCAAGGCCCAATCCTGTGAAGTCTTTAACTAACCAGTGTTTCAAATGGATACCATCTTTCTCCTTTGATGCTTAATCGGCACCCACATTGTCTTAAAATAACTCATATTTATGCCAGACCTGGATAGATGCTTTACATACATTTTCTCTAATCCTTACAACAACTTTGTAAAGTTAGGTTTATCCTTATTTTATAGATGAAGAAACTAATGCTTGGAGAGGTTACCCAAGGTTGTTCAACTAGTAAAGAACAAAACCAGGACTCAAACCCAGATCTGTCTTACTTCAGAGCCTTTACCTTTTCCCATCCTACAATACTGCATTTAGGTACTAAACTATTTATCGGTCACTCTCTCTGTGGACTCCCAGGCAAATTTTCAAATCTCAGTGCCTCGGTCTTCTCATCCATGAAGAATGACACATCACAGCAAACGCATTATTTTGAAGATTAAATAAGATAATGTATGTAAACGTCCTTTATAAGCTATAATGATCTTTATGACATTACTAGATTTTATGTTCCTTCAGGACAGGTTCTTACCCTTAGGTATCTATGCCCTTCAACACCCAAAAAGGGTTTAATATGAACTGAACCTCATCTAATGGTCTTTGGAAAGACTTGAGACACTTTTTCCCATGCTGAGGAGGAAAGAGGTGTCACATTCCAGAAAGTCTGGATTAAATGTCCTTAATTCAAACCTTACATTATAACAGACGGACAACTCAGTGCACCCATCAGACACGAGTTTCAAACACCTACATGGCATTTAACTGTCTGGTGTTTGCTCTCCAACGTGGCTGTCAGTGCCACAACAGTTTGACAAAGAGAAAATCCCGAATATCAACACCTTTCCTAAGAAAACACACGTAAAGGAGGAAAAGCAGAAAGAGGCCTGGCTTGATATCAGAGCCGGAAAAAACCTCACTGCTCCTGCGTTTCCTGATTTATAGTCTTCTGGTGACCAAAGTGTCTGTAGCACCATCTCCTTCATCACTCACTACTAAGAAATTTGTTTAAGTAAGTGACCATAACATATTTATTAAGTTTTATTAGGCATATTCACTTCCCCCCAATAAGATGAGCATATCTGCCCTGGCCCATGTTTCTCAGTGGATAGAGCATTGGCCTATGCACTGAAGGGTCTTGGGTTCAATTCCTGGTCAAGGGCACATACCTGGGCTGCAGGTTCGATCCCCACCCCAATCAGGATGCATGCAGGAGACAATGTGTCTCTCTCACATCAGTGTCTCTCTCTTTCTCTCTCTCTCCCTCTCTTCCCTCTCCTTCCCTTCCACTCTCTCTAAAAATCAATGGAAAAAATATCCTTGGGTGAGGATTAGCTACAACAACAAAAATAAGATGGGCATATCGGGTGGTATAGCCAGGGAAGTAGCCCATTGTGCTCCAAAGTGAGACTATACTAGATGTGCCTCCAGGAAAGCACAGTGGGAGGGAGCCAAGCCATGCTTTGCTGTTATATGATCCTTAGGAAGTCACTTAACATCGTTTCTTTTCTTCTTTTATTTTATTTTGAGGCTATGTTTATTAAAGCTAGGGGATAATGAAACACGGAAGGACTTAAGATAGAAGAAGCAACAGGAAAAAGGGTAGTGAAGCTGCTGTGGCTCACTGAGAAGTCAGACATTTCTCAGTTCAGGGGGTGAGCCTGGGAAGAGCTGCCTCTGCCCACTGCTCCCCTGGGGGCAAGTCTCCGGAAGCCCCTCGAGTTTAGGAGAGCTGTGCCTGAGGGAGACAAGGAGGGGAATGGGAAAGATGCAGGCATGCTTCATGGTGGGAGAGAGCAGCATCTTTGTTAACAGTGGATCTGCTTTCCAGGCTAATGATATTTATTTTGCCTCAGATTTCTTGTGATCGAATGAAATAGTATATGTTAAGTTTACAAATTATAAAAATATTACCAGAAATAACTAGACAATTGCCTACTACTTGTGCTTTGATAAATGTTTGGTATAGCAAAGCTGAGAGACTGGTTTATCTGGGTGTATTCACCATATAGTACCAAAGAGAATTTTTTTTTTTAAACTCTACTCATCTTTGAAAAGAACATAACAGATGTTATCTTAATAAGGGAGGCCATGGAAGAGGGAATTGGTAAAGTTGATCCTTCCACAATGGATCTGTAGCCCAACAACAAAAATATAGTTTCCAATGGTTCAGATATGTCTTCCTAAAAAGTGTGCGATAGATCATTAGATTGAGATGTAGCCACTTACTGCATATGTGACAGGGGCCACATACTAACTCATTTTACCTAGAACCTCAGTCACTAAAAAATGCCAAGTGCCTCACAGAACTAAAAACTAGTTCTTCCTGTCTTCCCTGTGGTCGTCCCAGATGCTTCCCCCACGCCTCTGGCAAATAAGGAATAAGGAGAATTGAGAAATAAAAGTATTCTTGAATCCAGGACATGCCTGGCATCTCTCTTCATGTTTCCTTAACCTAATTCCTATGAACTGGGCATAGGAACCCGCAGTGTTGAACATGCAGTTTACCAGCTAACCCCTTGTGCCCCGTAATTTTTTGACGTATGTTACAAACTTTCGCTAAAACTTTAAAGAAAAATCACACGAATGTCCAAAAGTAGGCTAAAAGCTAAATAGGATTCTGGTTCACACACATAGTATGCATACAAAAGAAAAATATATCTTAGTATCATTTATCTCTATCAAGTATGTTGACCTGTAAATACACTATCAGCCACAGCAGTAAGAAAAAAGGAAAAACACATGAAATAAGTATCTTAGAGCAAATACCTGCCAGGAGCAAATATTTTAGACACCTTCTTGGTTCAGTAGAAATAGAGATAAGCAATATAAATTGTTTGAGCTCTTGAGATCCTAATTTCCTGTGAAACCCTTCCCTCTATTCTCATTGGGAACTTGGTAACATTTCTTAAATAATCAATCCCAGAAGTATCCCACAAGTGAATGTCAAGCTTCTTTGTGTCAAGGCCACTGGCTTTTCCTATTTACCTAATTTCTGCACGGTTTCAAAAAGAATTTATTGAAGTTGGCAAGATCACTGCGCCATCTTTGCCCCAGGTTATAGGATTTGCAAGACACTTGAAGCAACAGTGACCCATCAAGTTTTTCAGGCCGATGCCTGAAGTTGTTTTTGTTTGTTTAGGTTTAGTGATGTTTAAAATATCAAAGCACACCATGAAACATTCCCTCTCTTTCATGATCTGATAGCTGTTGTCTTAAAAGACCTTGAACTTCAGGAGTCCCTGAATTGTGATCACCAGAGATTTTTAAGGCCAACTTCAACCTGATCTATGTGCTCTTCCAGGTTTTCCTGTATGAAATAACATCTGTCGCCAGCAAAGCCAAGGAAGCATACTCACCAAGTGAACATAAGGCACAAAGTATCCAAAAAGTGCGAGCGGTATTCCAACTGCCCACACTGCGTAAGCCTTCACCTTGAAGATGGCAAAATTGAAAATTTTTTGGGGAGGACTGAACTTCCTCCGGGAAAAGAAGGAGGATCTCTTGCCTCCTTTGATTCCACTCTCTTTCTCTCTGACACTGGGAACCAGAGGTCGGTAAGTAAAGCCAGCCAGAAAGAGAACAAACATGAAGATGCAGAGGATTCTCAGCGTGTAAAAGAGGTCCAAGTTGTCGGTCAGAACCCTTAAGAGGAGAGGCAGCAAGATTGTGAAGAGACTGCTGCCAGCGGTGACGATGCCGTTCACCAGTCCGAGGCGCTTCTTGAAATAGTGTCCCAGAATGACCAAGGAAGGCTGGTAGGCAAAGGAGCAGCCGCTGGCAAATATGATTCCGTAGGTGAGGTACAGCGGTTCGATGGAACTGTGTGAAGATGAAAAAAGATGGAAAGCGGCTTTCATTATTTTTATCTTGTGCTTGGTAGAATAAAACCTTCGCATGCCAGTGGGTCTTAGTTAATTAGTGTATTTTCTACAAATAAAATGTAGCTAAAGACAGGTGGAAACCTTGGTAAACCAAGAACGTAGCACTGAAAACATTTTAACTTAATCTGAATGGGTAACAGAAATGCCTCAGGTATGTGAGAAATGACCGCTAAGGTCATCGGTGCTTTTGTTCCTCCTTCTCTTCCCATGGATCTCCGGTGAGCCCTGCAGCCCTGGGTAGAAGCTGTGTGCTCTCCATTCTCACACAGGATGGGCCTCAGTGAAAGCGACAGGGTTGAAAGGAACCCAAAACAACTCAGTCTCAATAAACGTTTAAACTATGAAAACTCCTTATTTTATGGGGTTTTCCAGGGCACAGAGGAAAAGGCTGTGTCTTATGTTTCCTCCCCAGGTTACGTCCGGGTCATCTGTACGAAGAGCAGCTGCATCTCATTTTTGCTGGCCTAAGGGCTGCAGACCAACCTTCGCCCCGTTCCGCACTGTCCTCGGCGTTATGCAAGATAGCAAGGAGTCACGCTCTTACTGCAGCAAGAGCAGATGGAGCATGCTCCCAGGTTGCAAGCTATAAGGCCACATACGTCTCAAAGAAATAAGGAGTCAAGACTTTCATAGTTTAACCAAGTAACGTAATTATACATATCTTATAAAAACAAAGGAGCATATCATTACATTCGTTGAAACAATTCAGGAGAAAAGGAAAACAATATTTTTTTTTCCTTTGAAATGTCTAATTCAGAAGGCTATTTATCAAACTATCTAATAGAAATTAAGATAAACTTGGTTAATGATTAAATTTTGGACAATAATACTAGTCTAGCAATATGCTGAGGTAGGCACAGAAACTCTAGAATCTGATAAAAATTAAGCATGTTTGCAAACCTTTCAAGTGCCCTTTCCCCTCTGTTAATCCACAACTGCACCATCGTTTAATCAGGTTCCAGAGTCACTCCCAGATTAACGTGACCTCACCTGATCACCCATTACTGTATCTCCACTCTTGATTCAATAAATATATATTCAGCAGCTACTGTGTTCCAGGTGCTTGGTGAAAAAAATATTTAAAATGTGGTTATGCCCTACTCATTGTCTGCTTAGTAAAACAAGATATCTATCCCATATACTACAGAACAAAATATAAATAACATTTCATTTATTCTGCATCAATTTTTTTCCCACAGAAATAGTTTTCCAGATAATTGGAACTTACTTCTTAAGGCACTATTTATTTTTATTTATAATTTTCTTTTTATTTAATTTTAAAGGAAGAATCTAAATCTATTATACATTTCTCTGCTTTCTTCAAGGTGTATATTAAAAATGGTATTCACCAGGGGAGAATGAGCTGGGGTGGTGGTAAGAGATCAACCAGAGGACTTGCATGCATGCATATAAGTATCATCAATGGGCACAGACAGTAGCGAGGTGAGGGCATGTGCTGGGGGTGGGAGAGGATAATAGGAAAAAGGAGAATTATGTAATACTTTCAACAATAATGAATTGGCTGGCGCCATTTTGATGCTTAGCCATCTAGTTTTCCAGATGACCTAATAAATTCATAATTATTTAACAAAACAAACAAAAATAAAGAATTTAAATTTTTAAAAAATGGTACTGACAGCAGTATCATCATGAACGTCAATTGCTATATGGTTACACCACAGTGCTGTAGAGCTGTCAGCTGGAAGACCAGGGAGCCAGGAATATAAATTAAAAACATTCTTTGGACACCGTTTTAAAAACCAAATACTTCCCATCTCTCCCAAAAAATCAAGTACAAAAGCTTTGTGATGGCCTTTTCGCTGCCACTGAGTCCTTCTCATTTACTTCTAAATTTTCACCTCAGTAACAAATGGACCAAATTGTTGAAAGTTTGACAACTGAATAAGTGCAGTGTAAGTCAGTAAGATGCCAGTCATGTGTGTAAAAAGGATTCAGAGAAGGGACATGATGTGCCCTGGGATTGCTGGAGAAGGTTTTCCTACGAAGGCAGAACTTGAACTATAAGAAAAGTGGGTCCACTGTTCAACACTTTGAACTTATAGCACATTCCCCCTTGCTCCTGCGTATTGCTCTAAAAGCAAGCGCGGTATCTTTCGCCAGGCCGGTGTGGCTCAGTGTTTCAGCGTTGACCAGGAAGTCATGGTTTGATTCCAGGTCAGGGCACAGGCTTGGGTTGTAGATTTCCTTCCCAGTAGGAGGCAGCTGTCCAATGATTCTCTATCATTGATGTTTCTATCCCTCTCTCCCTCTTGCTTCGTCTCTCTCTGAGGTGAAAAAAATATTTAAAACCACATATTTTAAAAATAAATAAATAAAAGTTTGGTATCTTTTGATCAATGGAACTGAGTGGAAAATATGAGAACATTACATGTAGTAAATATGGTTTCAAGACATTCTGTTGAGTCACAATGTAAAACACATTTCATAATTTTTATTTTTCAATCATGAAAAAAGTTTGAAAAACATTGCTTTCTGTAAGTAGGTTTGTATATATGTTTTTTGTCTACCAAATGAGGTAATAAATTACATGGGTTTTTTACCTGTTGATCATCTCTCTACCAAAGTCTGATTGTTAATATATTCAGCAAGTGCTAGGGCCCCAGGTACTGCAATGGGTACCTAGAAGCTTCCAGATCAAAACAGGTATCTGACACATTGGTAATAGCACAATATTGTATTATTGCCAAAAACAAAAACTCAAATTAGCCCTGGCTGATGTGGCTCAGTTGGTTGGAATGTCATCCCATGCACCAGAGGGTCATGGGTTCAATTCCTGGTGAGGGCACATGCCTAGCTTGTGAGTTTGAGCCTGAGTTAGGGAAGCAACAGATTGATGTATCTCTCTCATGTCTATGTTTCTCTCTCTCCCTATCTCCCTTTCTCCCTCTATAAAAATAAGTAAATAAAAAGGTTAGAACTTCCTTTAAATACAAAGTGAAAGTAATTACCTAAGCAGAATCTTATTTCAAACAAAATTGTTTTGTTTCTTTACAAGTCAACTTTAGAAGGGAAAAAGTCATAAAGGCACTATAAAGATGGAATATATATTTTCTATCAAGACATAAAAATAATTGTTTAGAATCCAAATAAAATCTCTAGCTCTAGGTGGTTAGGCTCAGTGAACAGAGTGTCAGCCTGAGGACCGAAGGGGACCTGGGTTTGATTCTGGAAGCTTGATCACCAGACCTGGTCGGGGAGCATATAGGAGGCAACCAATTGATGTGTCTCTCTCACATCAATATTTTGCTATCTATCTCTCCCCCTCCCATTCTCTCAAAAAAAATTTTTTATCTAAGTTAGGTGAAAGAAAGGGGCTCATTTTAGAGATGAGGAAAGGGTACAGGTAGGGTGGGTGGGAGTAAAATTAGTAAACCAAGGGATCCATTTATTAAATCCAGAATCTTTAAAAAACAATCGGGGCAACAAATGTGAGTGTGTGGTTTTTTTCTAATGATTCAATAATGCTTTTCAACTAGTGCATGAAGATAGTTAGGTAAGGGAAAGAGGCAAAAAAATTAGGATTAAACCACTAAAGCAGACATAAATGGAAATCATTTTAAGAGGTTTTCTTGTTAATCACCTGTTAGCTAGAGCAATATATTAAACCAGTGTTTCTCTGGGGATTATTCTGAGAATGCAAAGGGATTTACTAGCAGAGCTGGAGCTGCAGGGAGAAGTGCTTCATGCCCATCAGCTCTTTGCTGTTAGTTCCTCTTCATCTGCATGAAGTACATCTCTAACAGACACAGGCAAAGGGTACTGATATTTTTTTTTCTTTTAAGCTGTACTTGACCATTTCATTTTGCCATAATCTTTTTTTTTTTTTTTTTTTTTTTTACTTTTGTGTGTTCTTTAAAAAAAATGCACACAGGAATCCTCTATCTGGGTTGAAATAAATAACCAAGTTTTTTCCCATTAGTAAAAATATGATATCATATTTTTATTGATATGATATCAAGCCTATGGAACAACTGCTTCAACACACCACTTACTTTACCCTTCAGGCCTCAGATTGAGCTGACCTACAACTAATGCTTTGACAACTCATTGTATGAGTCCTTTTAGGATTGTTATGTGATTAGAAAAAAACAAAAGGAGAAACATTTTTCTTGCTCCAGGGGACATATAGGGTAAATCCTGAATAACATCTGTTAGACACTGTAAGCAAAAAACATTCAATTTCTCGAGCTCTGATTTGCTGCTATGGATAACAACGAGAAAGTCATATTGCTTACAGTTTAAGCAACAAAAAGGAAGATTATTTTTTTTTTTTTTTGTAAACAGCAAAGTTTCTGAAAAAAAAACTTTAAGGTATCTAACAGTTCTCAAAAGCGAACATGAAGAAACCAAATCCTTACCTTACAAAAGAACTGGACATGAGTCCAATGAATCCAATAGCAGCACCCACAACAGCTGTTTTCCGACAACCAAATATGTCTGTGAAGATGCTGACTATTGGGCAGCAAAAGAAAATCATCCCCATGGAGAGAGAACTTACCCATGCTGTAAAGAGAGGAAAAAATGAAGGGATATTACGACAACATAAATTACATTTGCACTTATTCCACAAGTTATAATACATATTAGAAAAATAGTAACAGTCAAAAACTGGAAAGAATCCAAATGTCCAGAAATAAGTGACTGGATAAGCAAATTATGCTATATTCATATAATAGAATACTACTCAGCAATAAGTAAGAGTGAACTACTGATAAATACAGCAACATAGATGAAAACCAAAATAACCATGCTAGGTGAAAGAAGTCAGACTAAAAAGGAGTCTATAAAGTATGATTCCATTTATATGAAATTCTAAAAAATACAAATTAATCTATAGTACCAGAAAGTATATCAGTGTTTACCTGGTTGGGAACAGGTGGGAGGGAAGAGGGAGGACGGAGCTAGAGGAGGAGATTACCAAGAGGTACAAAGAAACTTGTAAGGGTAATGGTATGTTCATTATCTTCACTGTGGTAGTGGTTTCACTGGCTTATACACATATGACAAAACTCACCAAATTACCTACCTTAAAAAGGCTAAACGGTTTATTATTACATCAACTATACCTCAATAATGCTGATAAAACAAGAAATGAATCTATATGGAAGAGTTCGACAGCAACAAAAAATAATGTCATAAAAAACACATAAAATAAAACCGAGAACTAGAGAACTAGACAAATCCGCAACTGTAGTTGTATAATTTAGCACAGCTCTCTCAGTAATTAATAGAACAAGAAGACACCCTGCCCCCCCCCAAAAAAAATCAATAAAATATACAATTCTGGATGACACTATCAACCATCTTAACCTATTGACATACATAGAACTCAATATTCAACAACTGCAGAAAAATTGTTTGCTCTGCCAGGGAAATCATTAATCACTGATAAGGGTTGGATGGGACAGGTGCAGGAGAGAACTCATCTTTCTGGAATGCCTTCTAAACCCCGGGAAGGACCTGCACAGAACTGTCTTAGATCTTTAGGCAGCCCTGCAAGATATATCATCTTCATCTAAATATGGGAGAAAGATTAGAGATGTGAAGCAACTTGCCAAGGTTATGCAACTTTAGTGGGATTCAAACTAAACATTCAAGGTATAAACAGAAATAAGAAGATATACCCAAGAGATCTTCATTTAAAAACATCCATCAAAAGTACCCACAGGCAAGCATCATACTGTATATACGTAAATTTTAAATTTTATTTCAGAGAGAAGAAGGGAGAGGGAGAAAGGGATGAAAACATCAATGATGATAGAGAATCATTGATGAATCGGCTGTCTCTTGCCAGCCCCCCACTGGTTCTCTTGCTGAATCTGAGATTTTCAGTGTTAAGATAAAGCATGAAACTTAACAGACCTGGTTCCAAATTTGGAATTCAAGGAGTCAAGTAGAAAAAAATGCAAACCATTAGGTAGGGAGGGTGAGGAAGGAGAGAATCCAATGAACAAAATATACCTGCCACTCAGAATGATTCTGCAAACTCAAATTCCAAAAAACTGAAGCAAATCCAATGCTAAGAAAGACAACCAACAAAATCACCAATTAGCATATGCAGTCACTCCATATGAAATTAATTCTATAGACTACCCTGACTACCACACCAAAATGAATATGTTTAGAATGTTTAGAGAAATAAATTTTTATTTAAAAATAGAACAAGAAATTGTGAAACAAATAAGAAAAAAAATCAAGGGCAAGTACATAAAAAAGAGTATTCATTAGAAATCTTAGCCCTAACTGGTTTGGCTCAGTGGATAGAGCATTGGCTGCGGACTGTGGGCTCCTGGGTTCGATTCTGGTTGAGGGCATGTGCCTTGGTTGTGGGCACATCCCCAGTGGGGAGTGTGCAGGAGGCAGGTGATCGGTTTTTCAAGACATAAGTACAAACATGAAGGAAAATATGGATGAGATCTAACTTCATTAAAATTTACAATTTCTATGCCTCAGAAGACCCTAGAACCAAAGCAAAAAGAAATGATCCATAGAAAAGATCACTGCAGTGCATATAACTAGCAAATTATTACCATCTTGCATTTATAAAGAGAGCCTATAAATCAAGTAGGAAAAGACAACCCAACAGAAGAACGGGCAAAAGAGTTGGGAGGAAAAAGACAGAAGAGAAAACCCAATGGTCAACTGACGTTTACTAAGGTGCTCATTAGTAATCTAAAAAATGCAAATTGATAGAATAAATCACCAAAATTTGGCAAAAATTTAAGAAGTCTGACCTTAACAAATTTTAGTGAGGCTATGAGGAAATGGAAACTCTTATGCATACCACATAAACTGAAATTACCATTGTGAACAGCAATTTAGTAACATCTAAGAAAAGCCAAAGATGTGCAAACCTCACATTCTACCACTTCCACTTCCAGGTATGTACTCCAGAGAAATTTCACACATGTACATGAATAAGAACATGAATAAGGAGACATGAATAAGAACCATCACTGAAGTGCTGTTTGTAAAAAACTAGAAACAGCCCAGCTGCACACCTCAGTGGCTGAGCTCAACTATGAACCACGAGGTCACGGTTTGATTCCCATTCAAGGCACATGCCTGGTTTGTGAGCTCACTCCCCAGTAGGGGGCATGCAGGAGGCAACGGATCAATGATTCTCTCTCATCATTGATGCTTCTACCGTGTTTCCCCGAAAATAAGACATCCTCCGAAAATAAGACCTAGCGCATGGAAAGATAAGACATCCCCTGAAAATAAGACCTAGTGCAACTTTCGGAGGAAAAAATTAATATAAGACACTGTCTTATTTTCGGGGAAATAGGGTATCTCTCCCTCTCCTTTTCTCTCTGAAATCAATAAAAATATTTTTTTAAAACAAAGAAAAAACAATCTTATGCTTGTAACTAGTTTTGTCTGAGCTAGAAATCTGTTTCAATGAACCCAGCCAGAACATCCAGTCCTTAAAAACATAAAGACAACTAAGCTTTCTTTCACAATGAGAATATCTGCAATGTGAAGGGGAAATGGAGGGTTAAAGTAATTGCTACAGAGTAAACTAGAGAAGAAGGGTCCTGACTGTGAACAGGCGGCTTCACCAAGCCATACCAGTCCTGCCAAAGAAGGTAAATATCAAGCCAGCCTAAGTGGAGAAAGACATGTATTCCAAAAAAGTCCTTTGTGAGATCTTGAAGAATTTAAAAGTGATTTAAATCATAAACCTTTATGTTGCCACTTAATACTTAATAGCAGCACGTGTTATTTAAAAAGTAAAAAGGAATATTAATACCTCACAGAGCTTAGAGTGCAAAAGTTCATTCTGGACGGCTTATACTATCCCCATCCCCGCAAGAGGAGCAAAAGAACTGTCTACTCCAAGCACGTCAAACTCAAAGGCTAACATGGGCCAAATAAACAAGGTGTAAGTTTATGTGGGCCACACAAAAAAAACCAAAAGCTTCAATTTTCATAGAAATGTAGGTTTATTTCGATAGAGACATGCTGAATACAAAGGGCTGAAATAAATGAGTAATCCTATCTAATAAAAGAGTAATATGCAAATTGACCATCACTCAAACACACAAGATAGCTGCCCCCATGTGGTCAAAAATGGCTGCCACAAGATGGCCAGCAGAGGAGGGCAGTTGGGAGGGACCAGGCCTGCAAGGGAGGGCAGTTCAGGCAATCAAGCCTGCAGGGAAGGGCAGATGGGGGGACCAGGCCTGCAGGGGAGGGCAGTTAGGGGTGACCAGGCCTGCAGGGGAGAGCAGTTATGGGCAAACAGACTGGCAGGGGAGCAGTTAGGCATCAATCAGGCTGGCAGGGAAGTGATTAGGGGGTGATCAGGCTGGCAGGCAGAAGCGGTTAGGGGCAATCAGGAAGGTGAGCAGTTGTGAGCCAACAGTCCTGGATTGTGAGAGGGCAGTCGGACATCCCTCGAGGGGTCCCAGATTGGAGAGGGTGCAGGCTGGGCTGAGGAACACTCCCACTCCCTGTGCACAAATTTCATGCACCAGGCTTCTAGTTATTAACATAAAATAATAGAACATTTTAATAAAAAAATTTTCTTGAACATTAACTTACCAGACAATGAATAACTGCACAAATTAATAAGTATAACACAAATAAACCTATTTTTCTTATTCTCCGAAAGCGAAATATTTCCTAATATTCCTCACAAACAAGTCAGTACAAGACTAATGATGTGGCAATTGGCTGCTAATATATTTGCTGCTAGTACATATTAGTGGAGTGAAATGGTGTGCGCCTGTGTTTAAAGGAAATGAATGCAACGCGATTATAGTAATCATTCATTAGTAAACGTTGTATTTCATTATTAATAACTAGTGGCCCGGTGGACAGATTTGTGCACAATGAAAGGAAATTAATTGGGAGAAATATTTTAATATCTCTATTCTCCCTTTCTCTATAATAGAAGCATCAACCAAATTCAAGATCAACAATGACAGATCAAAACACACATGTGTGATTGGCACCAGCAAGAGCTTAATATGTATCATGCATGTACTAGTCAACTTAATAAACCTGTTTAATTAGACTTGCTTTCTGATGTAGCTAAACTTTTTTCAACCCAGTGAGGCACCCCAACTTCTCCTTCAGGTAATTGTCAGCAACACAGCAGTAAATATCAACATGAAGTAGATTATTATTGTAGATCACGCAGGGAGAACAAAGGGTAAAATATTTAACATCTGCAATGTTTGACTATATTCTGCACAGTGAGAAAACCTGAAGTCATTTTCAGGGTCCACCATTTCTTACTTCTTGTCAGTTGGATCAAGTTTCTAAACTTTCTAAAACTGTATTTCCAATTAATGAAAAGAAAATAGGATTCCCCCGAGTCTCCTATCTACCTACTGTAGGACTTCTATGAGGATCAAATGAGATGAAGCACAGAAAACGCTTCATAGACATTTGGTTACAGTGTGAAATGTTTGCACCTGGCTATAAAACAAGTTGGGTTTCTGGGCTGAAAAGACTCCAAGGAGGCTAGTCGATAGGGAGAGGAATCCGGACAG